CTATTTTCCCGTTTTCTGTACCACCCACCCCCATCTCGCCAAACCCAGCCCCAGCCCCAGCCCCCCAAAAAATATTATTTTATATATTTTTAGTTTTTCGTCTTTCGGTTTACAGGTTCGAAATTTTACCATTTCAAAGTTATGAGTTTGGTGATTTATGTGTTTGGAAGTTTACGATTTTAGAAATTATAAAGTTTACGGGTTTGAAAGTTTGTGGTTTTCGAAAGTTTAGCGGTTCGGAAATTTATGAAATTTGTAGGTTCGGAAGTTTGTTGGTTCGAAAGTTTATGGCTTCATGTTTATTGTATCTAAATTATTTATGAATACTCTTGAGAAGTTATTTTCTTTAATTTGCGTACCAAACACCGAAAATGAGTAAGATTACTCTTTGTTTTCCAAGAAAACATTTTCTTGGAAAATATTTTCCGTTGTACCAAACACACCCTTAGTCCTGAATTTTAGACTGAAGTGATATATCCCAAGTAAAAGGTTATCGATGTTGAACTTGTAATATAGTTAGAGAGAAGCGATGAGATAATATTTTTCGTCCTAATCTCATCTATTGATCAAAAAGGAACCCCTTGATCACCTGATAATTACCAAAGAAGCAATCATTGAATCTATTTGTTGTCACAATAAAGAGCTTGTTTATCAGAACACAGCTTTTAGTAAGTCAGATTATTACTATTATTTTCTTGAATATCTGGTTCATTTTGCTCTTTGTTGCATGTTTTCTTTCATATGTATTAGTTGTAATGGAAGAGTGACTTATTGCAATTGCTTAAATTCTGTATGTGAAATGGAAAAACTAGTAAAAGATTACAGCTTTCTGCCTGTTTGCAGAGGTGCAGCCAAAGACAGAGCCAGGATTTCAACATTATGGGTCCTGGATTTTAGAACGCTGACTTCATGTGCTAGTGACAGGATTCTAAATTTAATATTTGTATTATATGTTTTATAAAATTTTCAATACAAATACATTGTTTGAACAAAAGCTACTGGTTTCGGCCGACCCTGTAGCTCGGCTTCTGCCTCCTCCCCTGGGTGCAGCTGAGAACTCTTGCTGCAAGAATATACAGAATCTGAAAGATGATCAGTTTTGCTGTTAAAGAGTGGGCAAGAAGACAGCCTATTCACGTGACATGTAAAGTTCACTATATCTTTAGTATTGTGAATGATGACCTGATGATGATTTTGTAATGAAGTTCATCAAGTGTTTGGCTTGATATCAGCACCTCTTATGCTTTCTCATGCTTGTTACTTGTGATGTACTAAATCATAGGAGTTACTCACAAGTATAGGTACATCTGGATAGAACTAACAAATGAAGTGAAACTTGCCTTTAGGAGAAGATGGATCTGTTGATGGAGTATATTAGTCGAAGTAAATGTGGACTCCAATGGCAATAAGGAACATAGTAATTAATGCAAAGTAGAGAAGAGTATGGATGAAGATGGAGATTACACTTGTCTGGAAATTGGCAAACTCTATTGACCTGCTGCTTCCTGGAAGTTGGAACAGAAGTCCAGGAGTCAACAGCACAAACAACACCACTGCTATTAACACCGGTCCCCAATCAGCCATGTCTGTTTGTCTGTCTACTGTCTGATGAGTAACGTGAGGAGGTTTCAGTCTCTTCAGCAGAAGATAGTGAACTTAGGGTTCTTAACAGGCCACACCAACGGGGGCGATGGCTACTTCAGGTAGGATGAATTTGACAATCACATTTGCATATTTGGTGTCCCTACTAGCTCGTTACCTTTGTGCATGATCAAAAGAGAATTAGACGAACAACAAATTAATGTGAAAGAGGCAAGCGCATTACCAAATAGAAAGCAAAGCAGTTGCATCATTCAAGTAGGTTTGCCTTATCTGCAGCTTTGATTATTTTACTTTCTTATCTGATTTGATGCTCAAAACCTTTTAAGAATGTGCATTGTTAGCTCATCTTGAATATGTAAGCCAAAAATAAAGCATTCAACAACCTATCAAGCTTCGGCATTATCTGTCTTTCCACCCACACCACCTGCTTCTTTTCTCAAATACTTTTAAAAGAATAGAGACAGACCTCTCTATAACAACATCCCTATATAATAGTCATCATTCACTATAAAAGCTGAGTTTATCTCGGAACCGATTATTATGTTATGTTATATTATATGTCATCTATAACAACACTTCACTATAGCAGCCAAAAAATATCGGAACAAACGAGCCTGTTATAGAGAGGTTTGACTGTACTACTTTGATGAAAATAAAATGTTTGAAGTAAAGGCAAAAAGAAACCTTGAATTGTTCAATTATTGGAAAATTATACACAAAGTCAGTATTTTCTGTCAACTTCCATAAAGCAAGATTTCCACTACCACACAATACCTCACACTGCCTGCTTTTTCACCCTCAAATTTAGCACCCTTTCTCCTTCTTCACTAAGCAAAATCACTACATTTGCCTTAAATCTCTTGCTACGCATTTGCAAACACCAGAACTAAATACTACCAGAGAGAGAACTACGGCTAACTACTCTGAGAGAGAAAATAGAAATGGCAGTAGATTGGGGACCAGTGGTGGTGGCGGTGGCAATGTTCATCTTATTGTCACCCGGACTCCTATGCCAGCTGCCAGCAAGAACGAGAGTCATCGAGTTTGGGAACATGTACACCAGCGGAATTGCCATCCTAGTTCATGCTATCTTATACTTCTGTATATATACCATCTTGATAGTCGCCATTGGTGTCCACATACGATCTGGTTGATACCTTTAATTTCCTCCATCTACTTCATGTATATTATCCCATAGTTGAAAGTGACAACAAAGGCAACTGCAGACCTTCCTTGTGTTTCATATATCTTTGTACTTTTCATCATTCCTAGACTACTCTGATAAATGCGCTTGACATTAATGTTTATCCAATTCATGAAAATGAATTGAACAAATTTCCGGCCACTCTGTCAGATACTGGAGTATATTTAAGCTTGTTCATAATGCAGAAGTTCTTTTAATTTCTTCAATACAAGGAATAATTATCGTGTGTATGTTTTTAACAAAGAGCTAGAGCATCCATCTTTTTCCTTGAGCCGAATATCTATCAAAAACAGGCTCTCTACCTGTATAAGGTAGCGATAAGGTCTGCGTACACACTACCCTTCCCAGACCCCACTTACGGGATATACTGAGTTTGTTGTTGTTGTTGTGCATCCATCTTTTTCTTGCATAACCCGGAAACCTTAGCAAAGTCTCGTGGAGAAGGGCACTGTACTAGTAATCAGATTTTGACAAGAAGGGGAAATAGTAGGCAGTTCAGATCCCAATTAAAAGTCGAAAAGGAAGAATTCTTTTATATTAAACAATCAGTAACAGAAACGAAACATAAAATCTTTCTTCATTTTTCTCAAGAAAAGCTTCAACATATATATGTTATTGCGCGACACCTTTAGCTTTAGGTTGTGAGTACTCAGCCAGTACAGATATGAACATGAACGGCAAGAATGAGGATAGCGTAGAGAGAAAAGAAAATAAGAGTATGAACAGCAATGGCCTTGCCGTTCGTCTTCATGACCCCGACCTCCAGAGATCGGCCATTTCCAGGTATCTGAAACAGAAGTCCGGGTTGCAGCAGTATGAAGAGTACCACCCCAATGACCACTGGTCCCCAGTCCGCCATTAACCAGCTCGATGAAAAGATGCGCTAACTACCTATTCCCCGTGGGATGAAAATTGGAAAAAACAGTTTCAAGAACTAGTAATAGCCACAGTTAATCTAATATGATAGCTTATGAAGAACGCTGCCAAGAAAGAGTTAGGAATATTCTTCTACTTTAATTTGAAGGAATACTGTATTAGAATCTAGAAAAGCATACTGGTTAGGATTTTGGAACCACTTTGAATCACAAGGAATTTATTAAAGCACAAGCCACCTACAGTTTTCAAGTTAAAAAGTTACGTAGAATAGACAACTGAATATAAAATGCTTTTACCGATGAAGCCACTCAAAGGAAATAAAGAGCCGCATGGTTCATAAAGGAACCACTTTGGCTTTATACTTTTCTTTCTAAAATAGTGTTGAACGCTTTTTGGCATGAGAGGTAGGACATCGCGTTGCTTCATATTATCGAGGATATGATCCTAGACAGAAAATTGTGAAGGTTGAGCATTAAGGTTATAGGTTAGGGGTAATTGTGCATATTTCTACGGCGCTCAGAGTGAGGCTAGTCTGTTAGGATTTAGTCCTACACTATTAGTGGTTATTGTTGAGTTCACACCACTCTTCCATTTCTCTTAGTGTCGGACTCTATCTACCGATTATTATTTTACTTTTCATCTATTTTCATCTTGATTTTTATTGATGGCATTGATATATTGCCTTTTTTCCTCTTCTTTTCATCTTTTTGAGCCGAGGGTCTATTGGAAGCAGTCTTTCTTCTCCTCGGGGTAGGGGTAAGGTTTGCATATACAGTTACACATTATCCTTCCCAAACCCCACTAGTAAGATTTCACCGGATCTTGTTGTTGTTGCATTTTGGCATGAGAGGTATTGAAGCTTAACTGTAATAATACGTCAATATTATTTTATCAGAAGATATGCCGATCCAAATTTTAGAAATTCTCATTGCTTGCGTATACTTCTTATCTCTAGTTTTAACTCATCTAGAGGTCTTGATAGACTCATCTCGCACTGCCTTCAAAGTGCTGTCTGATCAATTAGCCAGTGGCAAGCACCAACTTGCTGCTTAAGCTATTCAAACTTCTATATATATATATATATATATATATATATATATATATATATATATATATATATATATATATATATAAACTGTCATGAAAATATTATTGTGAATGTCCATTTATTACTCTAATGTTCAAGCAGTTGATGCAGGCAGGTTGCAAGCAATTCAATGAAATAACTTGCAGCAACTTCTTATTAAACAATCAAGTTGCAAGCAGCTCATGCAGACAGCTTACAAGCAGCTCAAGAAAAACCTCGTAGCGGCTTCCAGAGAAACCTCACAACTGCTTCATTTCTTCTATAAATAGAGGAGATTTCAGTTTATTATGTACATCAGTTTGAAGTTAAATAATACATTAGTCTCTCACTATACTTGTCTTTGATCGTTTAGTTTATAGTCTTTATTTTATAACAAAAACTTTTTTATCTTGATGAATCCAGGGACCCGCTAATATTCATTTGGCCATCACTGTGTGCAGATTTCCGGTAACTTTCAAATTTTGTCGTTTTAAATCCTTAACCAATCCCCTTTTCTCCTCTCGTTTTCCTCTGCTTGGTTGGCGGAAAAAGGCATAGTTCTGTCATCACGACCACAAACAGATGCACTGCTATTTCACTTCGCACTGTTTCTATTACAAGAAAAAAAAAAAAGGGGAAGCACATAGCGAATATTATTATTAGTCTTAATTCTCATCAGATCATACATCTCACACGAGTAAAAAGAGAGCAATTACGTAAAAACAAGAGATCTCTCAAAATAGATTATAAATCAGATCACATCATAAGTTGCTACGGAAGCACAAGCCAAAACCAACGACACAAGACATATGACAACCACCCATGACACAACCGGAAACGCATAAAAGGAAATGGCTTACTAGGAACCCATATATAAGTGGACTCCAATGGCTAATAGGAAGATACACATGAGGGCGAAGTAGACAACAGAGTGAACCAGTATGGACACACCACTTGTTTGAAAGTTGCTGAACTCAACGAATCGGTTGCGACCAGGTGCCTGAATCAGCAAACCTGGCGATAACAGCACGAACAGCACCACCGCTACAAACACCGGCCCCCAATCCGACATCTTCCCTCTCCTTCCTCTGTATAAATGTTGCCAACCTATACAGCAACACTCTCTTTCTCTGTCTATATGAATTCTTTGCTTCTGTACAGGGCAACAGAAATGGTATGTAGAGAACGGAATTTATAAAGGGGGATGTCAACAACAAGAGAGGAGAGCGGGAGCTGAATCATAAATGGAATGGCTACGAAGAAACAGAAGGCTGCCAAATGAAGCTATTCTGTTTCATACTTTTTCGTTTGCTTGTATCACAAACTTTGTCTGTTAGCTGAGGTGCTGCTTTATAAGGTTGGTTGCTTATGAGATCAAAATTCTGATTCTCTTGATCTACGAGGCAAATCATGCCTCGTAAAAAACCAACAAATACCTTTTGAAGATAAAAATGTAATCTACTAATTTACTGTGGTTCTTGATTGAGTTAAAAAAATATTGTTGCCAAAGGGGACGGCTTTTCCTCCGACAGAAAATCAACATAGCTACGACACATTTGATGATAAACTAGCACTCAACAGTCTCCAATAAACCGTAGCAAGGAGCATGGATCAGAGTATAAGTAACCATATTCTAAAATGCTGTGTCACTTAACACTTCAATAAAACTAAAACTATAGCCATAAGGTTGTATAACAACTGAAGTGCAACACTTCAATAAAACAACTCATATGCTAAGTCTGCAATCGTCATTATTTTAGTCGTAAAGGACCACCAAATTTAGGCATCAAATGTTCTAATACCACTTCTCATGTTTCAAAATCTACTAACCACAGATTAAAGTATCCAAAGAACAAGGAGAAAAGCAAGATCAAATCAAAGTGTAAAGAGGGAAGCAACATCTAACAAAAAATTGTAAAGAGAGGGAGGTAGAGTGTGTGTGCAAGTGTGTGTGTGCGTGTGTGTGTGAGAGAGAAAGAGAGGAGCTGAATTATGTGAATGACATAATTTGAACAAGGTAGAGCTCATTAAATTTCATAAAACTCAAAAGCATAACCGAGTCCATCTATAAACCTGCCCTCACAGAAGAACTAGTCTTTTACAGGTTGATATATCTGATGGAAGCAATGTCTTTCAACTCCTAGAATATCATATTCTGTAAACTTGTTCAGTTTCGGACAAATCAATCATGAAAACATGACCAAGAGACAATTCAGCCCAGCACCCTTCAGGCATAATTCAAACGAAATATGTCATTGAGCACATAATAACTTCCTTGCGGTGTTGGCATCAAATGAAACATCTGCAGGCCGAGAAAGAAGAAACTAGTCATATTAGAAATTTGAGATGCAAAGAAGTTCGGAAGTCTAATGTTCACTAAGTATGAAGGGATCAAAATGTTGCATAGAATTAAACTTCAAAGCCCAGAACCCATATGAGCCTTTCATGGCCATATTCTCTTCATATATCCCCGCCAAAAACAGCATTGTCATTATTGAGAAGCGAAAACTTTCACAATGATAAAAAAAGACTGGACATGAAGAAGGGAGGAAGAGAAGAAAATAAGCAATCAAATATCCTTTGTTTTCTTCTCTCCTTAAGTGTGTAGGTGATAAAATGCAAGATAAACGCAGGTGAGGGTGCTCTAAAATGAGAACAGAAGAACTGAAAAGAGAGTTTTAAAAAAAGCTCTTTGCTACAAGATGGTTTATTCAATCAAAATACAAGTCAGAAAAGAAGAAGAGACAGTTAACATTAGATCTGAGTGCACAAGAATAACTCCAAACCCAGGCAAACCACGTCTGCCAATTATAGCCACTGAAGGTATTCAACAAAAAAAGAAAGATAATAGTTGAAGGTAGTCTAAAACTTTTAATTTCTCCCTACCATAATATCACATCTGCTCAGGCTCCTTAGAAAACCCAGTAGGTTGACAGTCCGCAAAGCTACAAAACCTACCTCACCCTGCACCACACTCAGGAAGGCAAGTGCAAATAACCCTTTTGACTAGCAAATGAAGCTAATACTTCCAAAGCTCTGCCAAACCACTCTTTACCCCCGCTTTCTTTTTTTCTTTCCACACATGTACAACTGTTGG